CATTTGCAATCAAGTCAACGATATCGCTGGAAATGAAGTGTCCCCAACTAAGCAAGCCAGAGGCGACAGCGGCAAGGACTATGTTTGCAGGACTATACATTATTTGGATAATTAGTCAAAATCAACAACAACAACAACAGTTATGTCTGATTCTGTTGCATAGAACTGAATAAAAATAATACATTGATATTTAATATTAATATATTTTCTGTCCAATTTTCTTTCAATAAAAGTGTGGTTATTTTATTGGCTTGTGCTTTTTTATATTCAGTATCATTAAAATTGAGTTAAATTTATTTTGTTATTATTTTTTTATTACTATTATTCTGATTTATGTCTTAGTTTTTGGTTGTACTGTTTAACTTTTTTAAAGTAATTTTAAATTGATTTTTATATTATATATTTGTATTTGCATTTTGAATGTAATATGGCAATTAAATGCACTAAATGGGTTAGTTTTCAGTTTATATGCAATTTCAGCAATAAAAATTTTCATTTTTCTAAAAAGGAAACAATTACTTGTTTCAAATTACTTGTTCATTTTAAGAGACCTGTCTTATTTTCTCTTGTATATTTAGTATTGCTCTTTAATAAAGAAAAAGTTCTTCTTATCCGATTACTCGATTAATCGATGGAATTTTCGGTAGAATACTCGATTACTAAAATATTCGATAGCTTCAGCTCTACACTTAAGTGGCCTTTTATTTAATTAATATTATATGCAAATACATTTTTTTTTATATAGTTCTAAGATTTAAGTACAATGAAGCACACTTATTTTTCACAAGAGTTTAAACAAAACATTCACTAAGTTTGTACCTTCTCCACAGCAGCATAACGGCTGACCAGCTGCTTCCTCAGGTCAGCGATGTGGTGGTCGCATTTCTTCATGTCTTTTTTAAAGTTGTCTCCTCTGAAGGTCAGTAAAGGCTTCTCGACTTCACTCTGGAGCTGAAGACAAAATCTTCTGCATCAGTTACACAGCTCCATGGCATATCTGGGCATGAACACTGAACAACATCTGAAATGAACTTGTGAGGTGTGTGGGTTCTCTGAGACGACTCTTACTGCTTTTCAGTGCATACATATTTGGATCGAGTTTTTGCTTTAGTAATGGTGATGATGTTCTTTAAAAGAAAGGCTTTTTTGTTTTGCTGTCTCCGTTAATCATACGTGATCTGAGGGAATAAAACTGCAGAATCACCTCCATCTTTCTGCAATTAATCACCCACACTGGCGCTAAATGGAGCACGCTAGTGTGAACATGGGAAAGCACAGCGTTGGAAATAGACAAATCACAGCAGACTGAAGAAAGCTGTGTAGCTCATTACATACAGGCAGCTAAAAACATCTCTGAGGGGAAGCTATTCAGTACAGCACAGAAAAGAAATAAAGGCCAGATACTTCATCTTCCCTGACAATGCATGAGCTTGAACCGCCAGTTTCTCAGCTGGATCTTATATCACCTCTATTGAGAAATATCATTACAGAAAACTGAGAACTGCCCACCTTTGAGGAGAACTTGAGATGGACCTCAGCTTCATCAGCTAGACTCTTCTTAAGTTGGGCCCAAGCTTCTCCAAGAGTCCTAAATCAAACCAGAACCCAGGAAGGATGGTTAAAGCTACAAAAATAATGTACTTCTTTAAAGTATAACAAAAGATTAAAAAATAAAAAATAAAATATTTAATTTGACATTATTACACAGTGTACTTTTTAAAAGTGCATGTTAAAAAAAACAGTCATGAAAGTGTCTCTCTTTAAGTACACTAATGTGGCCTTTTATTTCATTAATAACATATTATCTACAAGTACATGTTTTTAAATATATACTTTTAAGATTTGCAGTACACCAAAAGCGCATATTCAATACAATTAAGCATGTATAAGGCCTTTTTAATTATGTGTTCATTTATTTTTAAACCCCCAGTCAACATTTTAGGACATTTACATCTTCTCAACTTGATCTTTATATAGCTCAATGCTCAAAAATCTTTTAATTCCAATTTTTAGTTAGACTTAAAAATAGTGAAGCAAAAGCAGCTAACAGGCGTCCAGTATACAAACTCCTTTAATACTGCTTAAAAAAATCATCTTTGTAACATACCCTTCCTCTTGTGCTGCCATCGGGAACATGGAGAGTTTGGAAAGGTTCTTGGCATATTCCTCTTCGATTTTTATCCTGAAACATCAGGCATTCATCAAGAAAAGAAAGAGATTAAAAAAAATTGTGTGGCATCATCTCATATAGTACTACTGGCAGAACTACATGTACACCATGCCAATAAACTTACAAGTAAGACATGATTTTTATTTATTTTTTTGTAATACCCTGTGTTTTTTTAATATAGCTGTCTTTCAGCATCTATTACTGTATGTTGGTGCTTTCCAGTGGTGGGCGAAGTATACAAATCAGTACTCAAGTACTGTACTGTAAAAGTACAGATCCATATAATAAAATATTACTCCAAAGTAAAAGTACTCAGTTTTCAATTTTACTCGAGTGAAAGTACAAAAGTACTTGATTTTTTATGTACTTAAGTAAAAAGTACAGATAGATGAATGTTTATTTTGCGGTTTTATATAGGCTACACTTTTATAATTTAATTTTATTTTAGCATATATTTTTTTATAATCCTACTGCTCAAAATACCTGGGATTTTCCCAAAATAACCAATAAGGAAATAATGAATATAATAAGGAAAATATAATAAGATTTTCATAATGATTTTTTTTCTTTTCAAACCTTGTCTGTGTAAAAAGACCCCTGGTCAATTGCCCCCAGAGGGCATCACTTCCCACTTTGATAATTACTGTAGTTACCATGTTCTGAACATCACATCCTTTCTTTTTCCCTTAGATGTAATCTATCTAGGTGGTTGGATAAAAATATTTGGACTTTTTTATTATTTTTATTACCTCAATTTAGCACCAGCAAGCTCGTTAGCTAGACAGTTAGCATCAGCTAACATTATTGACTTATTTTCAGCATGGTTATGAATAAACATTTATATTAGTCTACTCGGCTAGTTGATCCAGATGCATAGTAACACTTAGGCCCAATCCCAATTCTATTTTATTTTTTTTTATAAAAATATATATTTTTTTTTAAGTAAACTCACTCTAAAAACAGAAACGCACAGACGCGCATACACGCAACTTTCATCTCTCTCTCTCTCTCTCGAACTGGCAATATTTGAGAAAAGGGTTTAGCGATTTCTAATTATTGGGGGGACTAGCCCCCCTCAATGTCTACGGTGGTTATCGCCCTGATCAGACATGAACATATGTTGTGGCACTATCCTGCAGTCTATAATGATATGACGTTAGTTAGCAAATATTAGCGATTTTTTGCAAACATTTCTTTGAGTAACATGACCGTAAATATGAACTCACGATTGAATGTAACATAAAACAAATGATTACTTTTCGTTAAAATCTTTATTAATGCCAAAAATGCTTACATTTATTTGTCTTTTTGTTCGCTTGGGTAGCCATGTTGCCCCTGAAGCCGGTTTACGCTGAGATCATTCATACCCCTTCCTTTAAAGTGTGGTCCCGAAAAATCTTCGTTTGAAGGGCTATCTGGCCCTTCCCCTTACCCCTACCCCTCCAACCAAAAGAGAAT